TCAGAGAGGAAGGGAGAGGGAGAGATAGAAACATCAATGATGAGAATCACTAATCGTCTGCCTCCTGCACGCCCCCTACTGGCGATCGAGCCTGCGACCCAGGCATGTGCCCTTGCCCAGCATAGACCCCAGGCCCCCTCAGTCTGCAGGCCGATGCTCTATGCACTGAGCCAACCCAGCCAGGGCGACTCCTTTCCTAATTGCTCATGATGGAGTAGTACGGGCACCGTCTAAGGGGGCCCCTAATACGCGGTCACTGCAGGTAACTCCCCCAGCCGCTGATGGAGGAATTTTGGGACCATGTTGGTCCCCTCCAGGGACAACCTATGAACAAAACACTCGAGACGGCAAATGCTGGTCACCACTGAGGAGAAAGACAGCTACACAACTTCCGTGTCCGCACAGCGAGGTGAGCTGTCCCTGCCGTGGCCACCTGGCCCAGCCCGGACCCACCTTCCTGTTTATTTCCGTCCTTCTTACAGTAGCCAACCCTCTTGCGGTTAGAAAACATATCTTTGAAAAGTTATTAAACATTGGGTGGGGGGTAGGGGGGCCCAGTGGGTCCCAGAAAACGCACGGAGCTGTAACCAGCAATTACTTAAAAACCAAAAATATCTGCCACCGTCCTGTGCACGTGCCTTAGCAGCTCTATTATGATGTGAGAGCCCCTCCAAGCGGAGCAAGGAGAATGTAATTTCCTTCCCGTCTTGGGGAGACTGATGTGGACTCACTGCAGGTGAGTTTGTTCAGTTAATTTTATCTGAGAATTGAATGAGCCCCACGTAGAGCTTTCTTCATGTCTTGGCAAATCAATCATTAATGACTAAGCCTAAAGGAGATATTTTTAAAATGGCTTTTATCGTTTACCAAAAAAAAAAAAAAAGTAAATAGATGGCTTTCTAATCATGCGGCCTTGTGGGGGGAAATTCAAGCTTTAGAAGCATTGCATAGGGTGCCCTGCAGGGAGCCGAGGTGTCCTGTCAGCAGTGGTCTCTCTCCCTTCCTTTATCCCTC